CCCCGCCATGGCGACTCACGTGGCCGCCGTTTCGGATGAAGGAGGCGGCGCCGGTGACGTATAGGACAATCTGAATAGCCAGGGCCTGGTTGATGATGTATGTGTAGTGGAACACCATGACCGCGCCGATCCCCAGGAACCCCAGGGTGCGCGGCAGCGGCCGCAGCAGCGCGGCGAGCAGCAGGCCGACCCCGCAGAGCGCCATGCAGCTTGTGTCACCGTGGGGGTGGATCGCCTGCGGGGAGGGGGCGGGGGCGGCGGCCGCGGGGGCGGGGCTTTCGCGTCGGCCGGGGTGCCAGCTCACACCCCGGAACTCGCCACGGCGGCGCTGGACCGACCGCAGGGCGGTTTGGAGCCGGCTGCTCCTGCAATTCAGCGGCGCGCCACCCGTGCGGCCGGCCCGCCCAAGGCGCGCGCGCCGGCCGCGCTCGCACGCGCGTGTGCAAAACCATCTGAGCGCAGTCGCACCATAAGCTGTGTGGCGGGCGTCCCGAGGATGAGGGCGACAATCCCAAAGTGATCCAGCTTCTCCTGCGGTCACGGTCGCGCGTGCGCATCCAGAGGGGGCCGCAGCTCGGCGGCGGAGCGTCACAGGGGCGATGCGCCCGGTCGTGGCCGAAGCTGCACGTGCGCCGTGTGCCCGCAGCTGGGCGGCGCGTTTGGCACACGGGGTCGGTCGCTCGTGATGGCGCGGTTCGCCCGACCTGGCCTACGCATCGCGCCGCACCGCCCTAGCTCACCAGGCCGTGGGAGTCTGGCCACACGTGCGTCAGGGCGCTGAAGCAGTGTGTGATGGCCGCGCACGTGCAGAACACCGCGAGTGCCGCTCCGCCGGGCGCGGCGCCCACGGCGGCTGCGGCCGCGAGCGCGGCGAAGGCGGCCCCCGGGACGCTATGGCTCCAGAAGTTGACCTGTCCGCGCGCGGGTACGGCCGGCGGCAAGGCCAGGGCGGGGGCAGTTGTGCGGCAGCGGAGCTTACAGCGGCTCAGGGGGTGGGCGACAGTGGCAGCCGCCGCCCCCAGCCGCACTCAGCGTCGCAGCGAGACAGCAACACAGCCAGGCGCTTCGGCCAATCGCTCGCACGGGTTGCTGTTTGCGATTGCTCACCCGTTCGTAGGGATCATGCAGCACGCCTGGGTGCGAAGTGGTGATGCATGCGCACGCAGTTTGCGCAGGCGTGAGGTTTCACTGAGCGCATGCCAATGTGTGTTGAGCGGTGCCGCTCCCGCTCGTTCCCGCCCGTTTGCCCAGCCCAGCCGATGGACTTTTTCGGGGACACAATTCCAGCTGCGCCTCACTCACAGTGAGACCAGTGTTCTGGGTGCGGCCACACCCCAGCCGGCGCGCCGTATGGCCGGAACTTGTGTTTTGGCTTGGCAGCGCCAGGGATTGCAGCGGTCTGCGGCGCCATCAAGCGCGATGCGGCTGTGGCTGTGTGACGAGCTCGCCAGCAGCTGCACGCTATATGTAATTCTTACTGTTAATATTTTCGTCCTATTGCAACAATCGGCTGGGGCACTCCATCAGCGGGAGCGGCTCTGATGTAGAGCGTTTGGCACCCGGAAGCGGGGTGTGCAAGCTCATCACACAATCCCCGTCGTTGAGCAACACTCGAGGTTGCAGCTCTGGCCTGGTACAGATGTGGGGAAGACGCACATGGTACGTTGTGGCCGCTCGATACCGCAGCACATGCCCTTGTGCTCTCGAGCATATCGAGCCACAGTGGCATGCTGCGCGCACCGAGCCCTTCATATCTGCTGAAAAACTGTCAGGCAGGCAATCAATGCGGCGACGAGAGGTTGAACAACCCCGATCCCATGTCCCTTGCATGATGGAGGCAAGCCCGCATGCTGGTCAAACCACTGTCAACCCTAGTAGACGCACTTGCAGCTGCAAGTGCCCTCTGTCCTTGCTCCATAGCTTGGTTACATAGCATGCAGCAGCCCAGGGGCCGGGGTAGACAAGAAATGAAATAAAATGCATGGTTGATGCCAGCAAAGATCAATGAAAAGCAGTGGTGAGGTCGTGGTTGGGCAACCTGGTGGCACCTTGGGGATATCACATGAAAGTGGCAGCAGGTGGCTTACAATCGCAGGTCGTTGCGCGCTGCCGTCGCGAGCCGCAAGCGCATACATGGAAATCGCAGAAGGCCACACTTGTGGTGCGCGCAGCGCTCCCTCGACCCGTGCGCTAAGCGCCCTCGCCCTCAGCTGCCGCGGCGGGCCTGCACGACTTGCAGCCGCGCTCGGAATAACGGCAGCGGCTGCAACCGAGCTTGCCGGGCGTGCCCGCCGCGGCCTTGCCAGGCGTGCCCCTGGCGGGGCTCTTGGCGGGCGTGGAGCCGGCGGGCGCCGCCTTTGCCGGCGTGGCCTTGGAAGGGGTGCCCGTGGCTGCGACGGGCCCCTTCTGCGGCGTGCTTGCGGGAGGTTGCCCCTGCTCGTTCTCGTCGGCCTCCTCCACTCCATGGCCCTTGGCCGCCTCCTGCTGCCCGCCCCCGCCGCCACCGCCGCCGCCGCGCTCTTGCCTGCCGCGCGCGCGCACCGGCTTCAGCGCGGCCGTGCCTCGCGAGCCCTTCCCTGCCTCGGCTGCCGCCTCGCCCACCGCCGCGGGAGCCTCGTCCTCCTTTACGGCGTCGCCGTCGCCGCCTTCGGCTGGCCCCCGCCGCTTTCTGCTGCCGCCCGCCGCCTTTGACTCCCCGCTGGCCCCGGCCGCCGAATCGCCCTCCGCCTTGACCCCGTCGCCGCCGGCCTCACCGCCGCCGCCGCCGCCGCCGTCGGCCGCCCGCCGCTTCCTGCTCGGCCCCGCCGCAGCCGCGGGCGCATCTCCCGCAGCAGCAGCTGCAGGCGCCTGCCCCTCGGCTGGTCCGGCAGCAGCGCCGCCGTCGCCCGACGCTGAGCCGCGCCGCCGCCGCGCGTCGGCGGCCCGGGCCCCTGCCGCGCCCGGCTCGGGCTTGCCGTCGTGAACGACGCCGTCGCCTGTGGCCGACGCGCGCCGCCGCCGGCCGGCGGGGG